ACCAAACTAGAGGGATCGAGCCAATCGTTTTCAGGGTCTTCCGCAACTGCGTATGCCATGTCTTCAATAAAAAGGCGTTCTTGAGCAGTAAACAAGCCAGAGAAGCACTCGCTTGGCAAGGGCTGCTCGCTCGGCTGGCTGCGATTCGATCCGGTGGAACGTTTCAGCGTAGAGAGCATCCAGTCCCGCAGGGAGCTGCCCCAAACGTTCCATGATCTTCTTGACGCTCGTGCAATACCGAATGTTCTCAATGAGCAGAGTCGCATGCAGAAACCTGATCCGTGAAGTTAATGAGAGACTGTGCATGTGACAGAGAAATCACTTCAAGAACTCACATGCCTTGGGACGCTTTGCATACTTTGGTGATTACTTCGCGCCTCTTCTCGTCATCACCGAGAAGCCGACGCAGCTCCGGGCTTCGCTCGATGCGCTGAGCGACCAATAGTTCAACATCCTCTTCCCGTGCGATAATGTCAAAAAACTTCGCGGTGCTGGGAAGCACCTCTTTCAAGATGTGGAGAGGACGAGAGGTGATGATGAAGTTGGCTTTGATAGATGTGAGGGTGTCCAGAAGATCAAACTGTTCGTCGGGCAACGCTTCATCTAAGCCGTCGATGGAGATGTAGGCTACCCGGAAGATAGCACAGATATCGCGAATGAGCCCGATGAGCTCTTTCTGGGTAGGTTTGGTCTTCTGAAGCTGATGCTTTGCGCATGTGGGCTCGACGAGGGGCAGCAGCTGTGGATAGCGCTCTAGTAGTTGCCTGACCACGGCTGCCAGGATGTCCCTGACGGTCATGGGTTCGGTGTAGCGGCAATAGATAAAAGCAACGCAGATGTCACTGGAAGCGTCGGCGAGAGAGTTCAAGTAATCAATGACCATCGAACTGTATAAGCAAGGGGGTGTTAGATGGCAACTCTGTGGAAAAAGGTATTCACTTACGCAAGAATCGTCTTGCCAGCGCCAGCTAGATCCGCGGATGTCAGAAAGAGCATGATACAGATCTCGAAAGACTTACGCATTCCTGTCCCCCAAATGATGTCCCATTGACTCAATAGCCAGTGCCTGAAGATATCACTTTCGAGAAACCATTTTACGGTGCCGGGTGCCCACTTTCCAAGGTTCTCTAGGTGGATTGCTCGAAAGTTGACCTCGGAGAGAAAATCAAGGAGCCTTTCGAGGCGAGCGTCTGGTATGACATGGTGAGCCATGACTACCCATGCAGCTGTATCACAGACCCGCTCACCGTCATTGGCTGATACATTAGTCACGCAAAAGTTGCCTCCATTGATAGTAAAATCCTTGGAGCCCTGGAACACGGAGGGACCAGTTGCTTGAGGAGCCCCAGCACCTATCGATACACATTAATCAGCTCGTGGACCTGAAAGTATACATCTACTACAACGTACCACTGACGATTGACATCGCCTGAAGACCTGGGTCTTCCCACCTCGCCTGTGGGTCATGAAACCGTCAGACGACGTCCTCAAGCTCATTTGTAGCTTTAATTACCCATTTGGAGAAACTTGCGCCCATTTATCAGCTCAGGGCGTAGAAGGAGATGGTAGTTTGATAAAGAGGTGCTGGGCGCCTATTCAGGTTCACACCAGACATGACGACACTGCCACCCGACGCCAAGTGCGCCCCCACGTGACGTTACGCTCGCTTTCTCCCACGCCCTTTCTCGCGTCGCGTTGAATCTCAATTTGGAACTGCCTACCCGCGATCAACGTCTTCCTTTCTTCTTTCATTCGGAATTGGTTTATTTCCCGTCAAGTCAACTTTCGACATTTCTTCTTTATAATTCTCTTTCTATCACTTTCCTTTTTACTTTTATAAACCAGGATCTTGGAAATGGCACCGGCAAACCTTCTCTTCTCTCAACACTCGTCCAACCCTCTGGAGGCACATCCCTCTGACACACGGAACGTGCAGTACAACACTGCGTACCAGGACGCGAACGAAAGACTGCATCCAGAGGAGTACGCGAGCAGTAGTGATCCTTTGGCGGTGTACCCGGCGAGGCTACAGGCGTACCACCAGCATCTGGCAGCAGTGGTACCTGGACTTCCGTTGGGTGGCTCAAAGAAGGAGAAGTCGAAAGGATTTGTGGATTTGGATGGGGACGAAGACGAAGACGAAGGAGACGACATGGACGAGCTGAATCTGAAAGGGCAGAAGGAGAATGTTGTGGAGGAAGCAGAGTATGACGAGGATTTGGATGGGGAATGGGAGATCGATCCAGACCATGAAACGGTGGATGCCACCGTGACCAACATCGACGGGAGTACTCTGAATGGCGACGTGGAGGAAATCGTGGAGGAGCAGGAGGAGCAGGAAGTCATCGAGGAACGTGACTATTTCGAGCTGGACGAGGAGGAAGAGCTGAATTCGTTGGACAAGAAGACCGAGGACGAAGTCTTGGAAATCAACAAAGAAATATCAGAGTTCTACGACTCTCTACCTCAGCTTTCAGGAACCTACCGGTTAATCGACAGACTGGGAACGGGCACATTCTCGAGCGTGTACAAGGCACTGGATCTCAAGTACCACGGATTCGACAACATGCCCTGGCTAGGCTTCCATCCTCCCATGAGCTCAGCGCACTTTCAGTCCGCAAAGACCAAGAAGGGCCGAATGGTCTTTGTCGCTATCAAGCGAATCTACGTGACCAGTGGTCCTGAACGTATCCGGAACGAACTGGCGATTATGGAACAGTGTCGAGGGGCACGGCATGTCAGTCCAAATTATCACCGCGTTCCGGTGTGAAGACCAGGTGGCGATCATCATGCCTTACCAGAGGAACGAGGATTTCAGGGTGAGTACTGGCATCGTTTCATCTAAATCACCTTACTGAAACACGCGTCGTGTTCAAAGGAATACTTCGAATGCCTACCCATGGAAGGCATCAAGGCCTACTTTCGGTGTCTATTACGGGCTCTACGCGATATCCACGCTAGAGGCATCATCCACCGCGACGTGAAGCCTGCCAACTTTCTTTTCGACCCCGCCACTGGTCAAGGGACACTCTGTGATTTCGGCTTGGCACAGGTTATGGCAGTCTGGCTTCCTCGATGGGCAAAAAGCTAACGGGAACCCCTTTAGACCTTTGATAAACCGCAAACACCAGCCCAAGGAGCATGTCTACATACGCATCCCAGTCGGCAGCACCCGCATGGGACCATTCAGACCAGAGCACACTATGATGAGGGAGCCGTCAAGGCTGCGCAGATGGAGGCACGGAGCAAGAGCAAAGCCCCATCGCATTCGGTTGGTGTGCCAGCCAAGGATACTCGGTACGAATCTCCATCGGGATGCTAGCGCTGAATCTGACAAAATCCCCTTTTCAGAATGCCTATGAAGGCCAATCGTGCTGGTACAAGAGGATTCCGTGCGCCAGAGGTGCTCTTGAAATGTGGCATGCAATCTGGAGGTACGTATGCTGGAGTCCACTTTCAGTTCTTGTAGCCTGATCGTCGTCGTCGGTAGCTGTGGATGTTTGGTCGGCAGGGATCATCCTCCTATTCTTCCTGACGCGCAAGTTCCCCTTGTTTCAATCCAACGACGATGTTGAAGCTCTCATGGAAATCGCCATGATCTTTGGAAGGAAGAAAATGGAGGGTGTCGCTACTTTGCATGGTACGTCCGTCCCTCTATCCCTCCTTCCTGTGAAACTGACCAGATCGCCAGCGCGTAAATTCTCAACGAATGTCCCTGATCTTCCTCAGAACCAGATGCCATGGGACAAGTTTGTCGAAAAGGTCAACCCCGAAGTTCTGAGCCCACCTCATCCCAACGAGCATCTGTACCCCTACACGTTACCCGCGTACAGGGAGAAGCTTGCGCGACACCTACAGCGTGAGGGGTCAGGGAACGATGACGAAGGGGACCAAGATGGACAACCACAAGAACGTAGCGGAAGGGAGCAACACGACGAAGATGACGATGACCTGACACCAAGGAAACCCTCGCTGAAACGGAAAGAGCGGGAAGACGATGACGGCGGCCCGGGGAAGGATGCGCACCCGAACGGAAGGAGACGAACAACCTCCTATTCCTCATCACCGCTACGCTTCCCCGAATCCTCCCCCGCCGTGCACAAACCCACATCAAGGCCAGCCTCCGCTGCCCGTCCACCATCCAACCAACCCTCGAACCGCTCCTCCTCCGGCTCTCATCCTCATCCATCGACCTCACCTTCCCGCCAAGACACCGACACCATCCAACCTCCCTGTCCGCCCCTCGAAACACCCCAATCATACGAAGACGCAATCTACCACGCCATGGACCTCGTTTCCAAGCTGCTCGAGCCGGAAGCGGTGAGACGTATCACACCGGCCGCTGCACTCGCCCATCCGTTCTTGCTTGAAGAGGTACCTGATCCGACTGGGGAGGGAGGAGGAACGAGGATAGTAGACGATGATGATTATGTTCCGCATTTGTTTGGAGAAGGTGTATGTGGGGAGTATCATTTTTGGGATGAGGTGACTGAGCAGGGCGGGGTTGTTATTCGGAGGAGGGTGGAGAAGGAGGAGGAGAGGGGATCGTCTGCGCCCAGGGAGAGCGGTGGGAGCTCTGGTGTGACGAAGAAGAGGGTGGTGAGGCGGAGGGCTGTGAAGGAGGATTTGGTGGACCTGGATGAGGAGGAAGATGAGGAGGAGGCAGGGACGAGCGATGCGGGTCGCTTAGATGAAGATGAAGAGGTTGTGCCTACGAGTGAGGGGGAGGCAGAGGAGGAGGAAGACGATCAGTGGGAATGGGAGGAGGTGAGGCTCCTCGTGAGCGCAGGAGAGGGTATTGCGATTGGGCGAGAACCATGCGAGTTCCATAAAGATTATTTGTTATATTAGCATCACCTCCTTAATCAATGTAAATCTAATTGTATTGTTCAGGAGTCATCGTCACCTGTCTCGTAGCTCTCCCGCTCTCGAACAAAGCTTCCGATGGAGCACTTTGCATGATTTGCAGACTTTGGCATACATTTGGTGATCGCGGGGTAGGTTGAGTGGTCTAGTGGTTATGATCTCTGTCTCACAAGTTTGTTAGGTCACAGAGGGTCCCCAGTTCGATCCTGGGTTCAACCATTTTTGCAGCTCTGGTATGTACGCCTAAGCGACCTATCGTGAATACTTTGTTAACTACATCTGCTGTCAATGCGACGGAATCCGTTCACGGGCTGCGTTATCAGATAGTCTCTTGAGGTCAGAACTGACGAATCCTTTGCGAGCCTTGGTTTGATATCTCGGTGGAGGGCCAATCGAGATTAATGTGTACGCCGATGTACAGCTTGATGGGTAACAAATTCCTTGCCTCTCAGGTCGACCTCGATTTCTGAACCCAGGCTCAATTGCCTCCCCTTGGTGAGGAACACGTAGCAGTGATGTGTCCAGATGCAGGCCTGTTGATAAAATGATTAGATAGAAAAAGTGGAGGCTCGATACCCTTCCTCGCCCTCGTAGCCATGTACGAGGTTCGGTCCACAGCTACAGTAGGCGGTTGGATGGCATTGATCGTGATGCGCTGATGCGCCCCAAGGCCGCGCCTTTTCCGCCTAACAGAGCTTGATCTCCAACACGATGCATCGAAATGATATCTGACATCAAACTATCAGAGGGACACTGCCTGTGTGATCTTCGACACTGAGCGCTGAGCTTTTACAACTGTGTTGGAATAACGAACACCACTCGTCACACCCATGCTTCTAGAGGCTGTGTGTGATACTGGTCATTGGTCATTTGTCTTCCCAAAGTTGGCTCAGACGGTACTGCACTGTGCAGAGCATATAAAGGTGGACGGACGAACCCTGGACGTTCACCCATCAATCTCGCTGCCACCAAACCGTACACCGACCTTGTCTGGGCGGTATTGCGCTTGTAGAACTTCTATGGGGGCGCAAATTTCATTCCTGGTAGGCTGGGTCGCATTCTATTTCAGTTTATGCATCGATGGCTCACATTTTGCTCTCAAGGATGGCCCTCATGCCTCGAGCAGCCTGGATCACATGCCTGGGTACTGTACGCAAAGTCATTCCTTTTGCTTGCTCACACGACGCTGACACCTTTGCAGTCGAGCCTTCCCCCGATCATGACAATAAGACCCAGGTGGTATCTATCCTGGAAGGTACAAATAACTCGAATATTTCCGGCGGGACATTCAACGCTGCTGGGCGGGATGTAATGACAACCACAGTGAACAACATCGTCATCAACCTTGTCGACAATACACCACTTCAGGACACCGCGATATTGGACTGGCTTTCTCCAAATAACTATAGGATGATGCAAATGGCTAACCTCGAGAAAGCTGTGACTGGCACTTGTCATTGGTTTCTTATAAGCAACCTCTTCATGCAGTGGCTTGCAAGTTGCGGAGGTATACTCTGGGGTATCGGCATGCGTAAGTCCTCCTCCCTAGTCTATTCCCTATTGCCTAACAATCACTTAGCCGGGGCAGGTAAAACGATCCTTGCGTATGTATTTACACTTTCCCGTACATCCTTGCTCTAATGCGGCCTGTAGATCCATCGTCATCGAATACCTTCAGAAGTACGCCAGAGCTCACGGGCCGAGGATTGCCTTGGTTTTTGCTTATTGCCGCTACACCGAACCCGTCCCTGTTCAGCAGATCCTCGCCGCTCTTGTTCGCCAGCTGCTCGAACGCTACCCCTTCCTTTACCCCCTCGTCAAGCCTGTTTATGACGAACATCACCGCGAAATGACCAAGCCATCGAAGGCTCAACTCCTTGAGCTGCTTAGCGAAATATGCCAGGTCTTCGATGTCTTGTTTTGCGCCCTCGATGGTTTGGATGAAGCGGCGCCAGACACTCAGTTCGACCTGGTCAACGCGTTGTCATCGGTGAAGGCAAACTTCTTCATCACGTCCCGCCCCTTGGAACCACTGCAGTCTCTTCGTCGTGACGCCCAATTCTTCAAGATTGTGGCTCAGGATGAAGATATCGAGCTACTGATTTGGGAAAAGCTCACCCACGATGCACGCTTCAGCATGCCCTTGAACGCGCAGGAATACTCGGAATGGCAAAGTCAGATTGTGTCGAAAGTCACGGCAGCAGCAGGTGGCATGTGAGTCGTCTGTAGAGTCATATGATAGCAGGTCTGACGCAAAATGTCAGGTTTCTCCACGCCGCTCTACAGGTAGAAACACTTCGACATGCTACAAGCCTGCGAAACGTCTTGGATAGCTTGGATGGATTTCCATCCACGATCAATGACATGTATTCAGCAACTCTGGAAAGGATCATCGCCCAACCTGGCACAAAGCCCCAGCTCGCTAGGCAGATTCTCACATGGCTAGCCTATGCTCGCCGAGGGTTGAGCGTCGATGATATTCGATATGCATTGGCCATTCCCCTCACCAACCCCTTGCCTCCAAACGAAGATATCGTCGATCCCCTTTTGCTGGTCGACGAGCATGTCTTGCTATCCGTGTGCTGTGGTCTAGTAATTGTGGATAAACCTGCGTACGGGACACCGTCCCTTCGCCTTATCCGTAAGTGGGAACCTTTCTTGGAAGGTTTTAACAGGTTAACCCAAGGTTCATTAGACTTCACCGCTGTGGACTTCCTCAAGACAATCATTAGTTCAGCAGAGGCGCATCTTGTGCTTGCTTTAACGTGCATCCGACGGATCATCTCTGTCGATACCAGCAGGTCGGCCGAACCCTTTCCTATTTCGAAATATCAAAGGTACCCGTTGCTCCACTACGCTGTGGACCTCTGGGGGGAACATGGGAGTCATTGTGTTGGCCCCGATGGATCAACCATGCGCAGGTTCCTGCGCGAGGTTGCCCACATCTTTGCGAGGCGCTGCTGGATCCCCAGTGCTTACAGCCAGCCCATATTCCCTTGGACAGCGCTCTGCACTGTCATTTGGCGCATCCCAGCTGTCCTGGCACCTTTACTTGCGATGAATGATCCATGCGTCACCCAAGTCGTGGCAGATCAGGCCAATTCTTCCACCCCGGACTTCCTTGACTCATCGACCCCCTTGACATTGGCCGTCAAAGGCCCAGACACTCAGGTGTTACCTGTCCTACTCGCACTCCCCAACATCAATGTCAAAGCTTTCACCCATCGAGGCACCGCACTCATGATTGCTGCCGAGATGGGCAAAGTAGAGGCGATGAAGGTCCTCCTTGACGACCCCAGGGTTGATGTTAACATCCACCAAAGGGTCACCGAAATTAGCACATGGAGAGGCATGACAGCACTCATGCTTGCTGCTAAGAATCACAAGGTCGAGACTGCAGAGCTCCTCCTCTCCTTCCCAGCAACCAAGGCGGACCTGGCCACTGAGGATGGTACAACTGCCTTGATGCTGGCTGCCTCCAAGGGGTGTGAGGGAATCACACGGCTTCTACTATGCCACACTGATGTCGATGTCAACCGAGCCAAACTTTCAGGTAGGAGGACGCCCCTGATGTTTGCCGTTTCCAGTGGTAATCTTCCCGCCGTGAAGAGGCTTCTCAGCCACCCAAACATCAATCTTAGTGCAACCGATGCCATGGGGGAGACAGCGCTTACACTTGCAGAGAAAGGTGGAAATCTAGAGATCCTTGGGCTCCTTCATCAGACCATCGGGCATCCGCCTTTCCCCCGGGAAACCAGGACCATGAAAATGCATCAGTCCATCCAGCATCAGCTTTCCCCCCAGGAAGTCAGAGCAAGCACGGGGTTTCCACCTACCAACCCTCCCGCTGTGAAGAGACTTCTCAACAACCCAAACATCAATCTTAGTGCAACCGATGCCATGGGGGAGACGGCGCTTACACTTGCAGAGAAAGGCGGAAATCTAGATATTCTTGGGCTCCTTCATCAGACCATCGGGCATCCGCTTTCTCCCCCGGAAACCAGGACCATGAAAATGCATCAGTCCATCCAGCATCAGCTTTCCCCCCAGGAAGTCAGAGCAAGCACGGGGTTTCTACCTACCAATCCTCCCACTGTGAAGAGACTTAACAACCCCGATATCGACCTAAATCCAGCCAGCATCCTACATGAGATGGAGCCGGTGGCTGCAAAGCAAATGGGCGATCCAGAAATTGATTGTTGCCTTCATCAGACCTGCCAGCATCCACCTGAAGTTTTTCTCCAGCACACCAGGACCAGGATTGCGCCTAAGCTCCTCCAGCTTCGGCAAAGTCAGAGGGCCCCGTATCAATTATCTCCCGAAGAAGCCATGGAAATGATGGAGTCGCCCCAGGATAAGCTATGGCCTGCGGAAGTCAAGGCATTGATGGAGTTTCTACCCGACGCCTCTTAGAGCAAACAGTCTTGGATTACTGCTCTTTCGCCTGACAAACTCGATGAGCCGTGTCAGCCAGTACAGGAGAGCCTTCAGGGACGAATTTCTGCTTGTGCATGTGGCCAGAGATAAAGGCAAGGGAAGGGTCTGGCTTATACCCCCCATGATCTTGCCTAGCATTTGCGCACCCTCACGCCTCCATTCCCCTTTATCGATGTAGAGACGCAGTCATCAGTAATGGTATTTAGATAATTGACTGGACCCGTATTGATGAAGAACGGTATTCGCAGCAGGTGGTAGTATCAGCTGTTCGATGCTGCCATTCATGCAGCGAAGTGCGGGCATCGCGATTTTGACGCCAGAGACGCAGTCGGAAACAATGATCTTTATGTTGTTGATTTGGGTCAATTGAAGAATTCGTCAAGCGAATCGCAATGCGCCCCAGCCGTTGACCGAGCTTGTGACGATGAGCTATTGGCTCAGAGGATCCTCCTAGTCTTCATTCGACGGCTGGTTACGAGTCTAGCACATCGCGCCAGCGTCGGCGATTTCAAATTGTTCATGAAATTCACGTCTTCGCCAAGAAGAGTCGAACCGTTGTTGATGAGTTGATGCACCGTACATACTATGCCCCGCCGCTGATTATCCGACGTTGGGTCCGACCTGGACCACCAGGACAGGTAGCACCAAATCGTGATTCGTGTTCTTCATCCTCATCGCATAATCCTCACACGAGCATCCTATCGGTGTCAATAATCTCAGCGGCCTTGCCTTACACGACCTGAGATCGAACCACAGTGACACGGATAAGTCGAAGACCTGAG